ACACGCACAGCTCTCGCCATTTTGCGGCAGTCTACGGTTAATTTGGTGCACGTTGTACAACACAGCAAAGACACTTTCATTGGTTTGGTGTGAGGCCCAGTAGTTAGTGTGGAATGTGACATCACAACTTCCTACACGTGCATAACATTTTTCTCTTCGTAAATGGATTGGGGGTGAAGGACAAATAGCAAGATAAACATTTGAGAGAGAGAGAGAGAGAGAGAGGACACGACATTCCTTTTCACGACGTGAAGGTAGCAAGGAGGCAAGTTCAGGAAAGTGAAGAAAGTCAAGGAGACAAGAGAAAAGCAGGAGGTGAAGGAAGTGAAGGAGGCAAGTTAGTGGTACGAGACGACCGGTCACGATGGTGAGAAGTGCGAGTCGAAGCGACGCAGAGGAGAAAAGACTTACAACACAACGTTTATTAAGGAGGGAGCGAGAATGAGGATGTGTCCCCTTTAAGAATCTACGAGGAAGAGATGATAGGTTAGAAAGGGGTGGGGCCAGAAGGACAGACAGGAAGTGGATCCTGCGCCATCAGTAGATGGGGGGGGGGAAGAGGGATGTGAGGAGGGGTTCAGCGGAAGCGCGTCTCACCATCTCCCTGCAAGTCTGAGGTCCAAAGTGTCAAGTTGTCGCGTAGCAGCTGCATGATAAGCGTGGAGTCCTTGTAGCTCTCCTCGCTCAGAGCGTCCAGTTCGGCAATGGCATGGTCAAACGCCTCCTTCGCCAACCTGCCCCGACATTCGCAAGCGGGTCAGTACGCCGGTCGCACCCTCCTCCGAGGCAATTGGGGGAGGCATAGGTACCTGCAGGCGCGGTCCGGCGAGTTGAGGATTTCGTAGTAGAAAACAGAGAAGTTGAGGGCCAGTCCGAGGCGGATGGGGTGCGTGGGTGGGAGCTCGTTGAAAGCGATGTCGCTGGCGGCTTTGTACGCCACCAGGCTGTTCTCGGCCGCCTCCTTCCTGTCGTTGCCCGTGGCGAACTCCGCCAGGTACCTGTGGTAGTCTCCCTTCCTGGAGGCGGCAATGCACAGCGATTGCTCAAAATGTGGCAGGAGCACACTGGAGCCCGACGTTTCTCTTATTGCAACGGGACTATGTTGACGTGATTTAAGGAGTTTCATTAAGATACACAGAAACAGACGGCGCTGTGTGACAAAATGGACGTACATTTTGTAATAGAAAACCTTGGACTCGCCCGAGGCGGAGGCTGGGATGAGGTGCTGGTCCAGTACTTCCAGGATGTCTTTGCAGATTGATTTCAGCTCTTTCTCTACCTGCACACACAAAGAGGACGTCAATCTGCCGAAGCAAACCGAACGTCAACGGGACGGGGGGGAAGACGAGCGTTCGACGTGCGGGCTGACCAGCTTCCGGTAGTCCTTGTACATCGTCAGTTTCTCCTCGCTGGCTTTGCTCTCCTCCTTCTGCTCCAGACTGCTGATGATCCGCCACGAGGCTCTCCGCGCGCCAATCACGTTCTTGTAGGCCACCGACAGGAGGTTCCGCTCCTCGACCGTCAGCTCCGTGTCCAAGCTTGCCACCTGCTTCATCGACTCCACCATTTCTGTCGGCACGCGACGGGGGACCGGTTACGGCAGGGGCATATGCGCCTCGAGTGACGACAATGAGGTGCGGAACTTAAGTCGGGAGGCAAGAGAAGGATATGGGTAGCGAGGACGTTAGCGAGCGTAATGAGGAGGTAGGCGAAGAGGGATTTCATGACAAGTGAAGGTAGAGAGGTATGTGACCAAAGCCCGGCCATAAAAGGTAACATGGAGGCAAAAGAAGGTCGCAAGGAAGCAAGCCAAGCTAAAGAAATATGGGTTATGAGGAGGAAAGCCAAGGTGTCAAAGATGTAAGCAAAGCGCCAAGCAAATGTAGCGAGGAGGCAAACAAAGTTAGTAAAGAGGTGAGGGGGTAAGCAAGGGGCTCATAGAAAATAAGGATAAGCAAAGACAGCAAGGAGTTACGCAAAGGTAGCAAGAAGGCAAGTGAAGGTAGCAAGAAAGCAGACAGACAACGGAGGGAACAGCACGTAGGAAGGAGTTGAGTGAGGTGGTAAGCGAAGGCAGCGAGGTCATCAAGTTAAGGAGGAGGCAGGTGAAGATAAGAGATTATTGGAAGGTAAGCCAAGATACGGAGGAGGTAAGCACAGGCAGCGAGGAGAAACGCGAAGGCAAGCAGAGGGGTAACAGAAGGTGGCGAGGAGGTACATGAAGGAATTAATTGAAGGCGGTAGACCAAGCACTTATTCAACAATCCCTTTCAGACGCCCCTTAGGGAATTCGCACAGCCATCGCGGCTGCGGGCGGCGACTTCAGCACCAGCCGCAACGGCTTCGGGAGAATCCGTTTGACGGCGCTCTCTGTAAACCGACACATTGAAGGCGCGACGATCAAACCACGCCTTTAAGCCAGCCATTGCCGCTTCGCGCATTGAGATAGTCAGGGCAGTCCATCTGCCTCTCAAACTAACCTTGCTGATGCTCACGTTAGCGCCCGTGTTGGCCATTTCATCCAAGAAATAACATCAAGCGCCGCGCAAACACAAACATGATCACGGCGATCTGGAAAGGCGCCAGAGGCGTTCCCGTTAACAGCAAGTTTACAAACCCAGCAATTTTTTTTAATTTTTTTTGCCGACGCGGGCATTTTATTAATGGAGCTCCCGAGTTGCTCCGACACTCGCATCGGCCGTCCACGGACTTGACGGGGCGCTGGGAAGCGAGCCAGATTCGGTTTCACTGCCTCAAGGTGATTCACTGCAACAAATGGCTGCGCAATCCAGAGATGGAGTGGCACGATTAACAACACCGAACACTGATGGACATCTTTTGGGACCTGGCATCAGGTTTTAAGTTTTTTTTAAGTTTTCTCTTCTTCAGAGGAGCTCTTTGACGGGCCGCCAGCAGCCAGTGTCATTTCTTTTTTTAAACCGACTACCACTTTCTTGTCAACTTACCCGCACATGACTATATTTGTTTTTAACTAACATTACAGTCATTTAGGACATTGTGACACACACTTGAAAGGGAAAAAAGGGCATAATAAAGGAGAATGGCATTTGTAGCAAAGGGTAAGCTTTTCAGTTATTGTAGTATGAAGTAACGGTTAGTTTACAAAATAGGGTGTCAAGGGATTGGATTTGTTTGAAGGTTTATGGTTTGAAAGTATCAAAGGCTTTCGGAAAAATAAAAGTCATCAAGCATTTCCGAGATTTTTGGTCCACTATGGGGCTTTTGGGGGGGCTGCCCAACAACTGTGACTGCAAACTTTTATGGGTCCAATCAAATGCGAATAATGAGCTGTGAATCAAAGACCCCCCCCCGCCCCCAAAAAACCTCGGGCACTAATTAGCATGTCGATGCTAGGTGGCCAGCTAGCTCAGAGCATGCAGAGTCTATGTTACAAAGCGGCCTAGACCATTCATTTGGAATTCGAAGTCGCCTGATGTTATTTCTTTTCTTCTGTTGACTAAAACGCGTCGAACCCGAAAAAAATGCGCCACGAAAAGAAGCCTCCCCTCCCTGATAAACCACTGGATGGGGGGCGGTACGGCTTACGGTGCGTATGACTCCCCGCAAAATGGGTCACGTTTTCAGAAAAAAAAAAAACGTCAACCCAGCCTCGTCATTTGATACGCGTGCGGTATTTTTGACGCAGTAGAAGTGAAACGTGTGGCCGTATTTCGTGAGCTGCGTTCGGCGTGACGAGGACGAAGAAAGGCTAGCAGGCTAATTAGGTAGCTAGGTTAGCGGCTAATCTGCTTGCTACCGACTACGGAAGGGGCATTTTAATTATGGCTTAAAATGATTAACTACGCTAAATGGCAACCCAAGAGTGTGGTGCTTATGTGACAGTGGCGTTGTTCTCCTACAAGTCGCAAGCTATTCATTTTCACCGTTTTAATATCCCATTTCCAATGAATATATGTCCGCCATTTTGTTTCCACAGAGCCCCGCAGATCCATGTGAACAGAGGCACCTACGCGGGGCCTGGGGGGAGGGAAGCCGGTGAGTTCGTGCCTCGAGAGGGGCCAGAGCCCCATCCAGAAAGAAAAAAAAACTTACCATCGTATCGCTCCGCTTGCTCGGCGAGCTTCGCCTGGTACACTGCGTCCCCTCTGTCCGCCATGGTGCTCGGCTAAAGCGGTGGTGGTGGTGGTGGAGGGCGGGGGTGCTTTTCGAAAAAAGGAAAAGTCCCGGAAGGGGGAGAGAGAGAAAAAAGAGAGGACTTGTCGGGCCACTGGGTGGTTTCTGGCGGCGGAGTAGCAACAAGCACTACGGTCCCACGGTAAATATGGCGTCGGAGCAACATCCGGGAACCCGGCGCGTCTCCACCCTCCTCGGCATGAAACGAGTGCGACACTCTCCGCCATCCACATGACCAGACTGCGTTATGAAAATGCTCTATCAAGCGACAAATGTCGTTTTAATGGCGAAAGACCGCAATGAGTGAATGCATCTTATGAATTCAAAGCAACTCTAAAATTCGGCTTTCGAACTTCACAGAAATATGGGGGTGACATGGAAGAAGTTGACAATTCTTGACGTCAATTTGTGGCAATTTCTAAGAGACCGGACCTTAAAGTGGCCATTAAATGCGTCAGACTAAAAAAGTAAATTGTAAAAATTCGTAAAAATCACTTCCTTGCGGCGAAAACGTTTTCGTGACGCAATTGACGTTCTCTAGTTATGACGTCACAAAGCGTTGAAAGTGTTTTAAAATGGGGTTTCTACTTTGCAGCCAGAGTTCGGATTTCAAGGTAGGGGTAAAGTTTTAAAGATGGGGTTAAGTGTTTCAAGGCCATCTTTTCGGAATTACAAAGTCGGATTTTAAGTCAGGGTTAGGGTTTTAAACAACAGTGTAGGTTTCAAGGTCAGTGTTTCTAGCCAAAATTGCAGTTTGGATTTCTCGCCTGGGTTCAGGGTTAGAGCTAGTTTCACATCACAAGGGGGGTGAGGAGGGGAAAAAAAAAGAGTTCAAACTGTCCATATATTGGTACATTTTTATTGACTAGGTATATTATTAACACATAACACCAAACAGAAAAATAAACCAAAACTTGAAATATATTTTAACACTTTGACATAATGTACAAAATAAAACGGAAAATCTTACATTTTGCTTGTTTGTGGTCCTTTAACAGTGGTGTGGAATGGCACAAAATATGTCGCTCTCTGAAGGAATTTTTTTTTTTTTTTGGTTGAAAGAATTGTGAGTGAAGGGATTAAGGTGCATGTTAGCAGATTCCTAAATGGTTTCTTCAGCATTCACATGAGTTACGATAATCCCATTGAAGATGTTCTATCCAAGGCTACGACAAGAGTTTAGGAATCATCTTTTTTTTTTTTTTAAGCATTCATATGAGTTAAAAAAAAAAGACGCTTTCAGCAATTAGCAGCATGTTTACCTCTGGTCTAAAATATACAAAGCAGTAATAAGGCCACACGAGGGATAACTTTTTCAGAAAAGTATTTAACAAAAAAAAAGAAAATAAATGTTGAAATGTAAAACAAATATTGAAATGCCTCTTTCCCTTGTAAAATGACCAGTTACACGATGTTACGTCTTTCGGTGTAAAATTCCATGTTCACTCTTCTAATATTGGGTGTATCCTCGCAATATGGCTTACTTCACGTAAAAGGAAGACTTTCAGCATAGATTACAAATGTAATATTTATAACATTTTTAAAATCGTTTTTTTCTACATTGGAAAACACGGGGGACAAGAGTCATGAGATTATATGCACAAAGATTCAAAATTTATTTTTATTCTCGTAAAAATTGTGACTGTTTTCGCACCATCTTTTGTGCCAAGAAATGACTCAGGACATATTTTACCTCAGAATTTTTCTGACTTTATTCAAGTACTTTTTTTTTTCCTTTTTGAAATATTTTGACTATTTTAGTACTAGCACCCGTTTTCCTCATACAGGAGTGTTTTTATTCATGTAATTGTTAAACTGTTTTCATAGGACTGTGACTTCTTGAAAAACAACGATTATTTTTATTTTCTCGCTTTTTTGTATTTTAGTAAGATTCTGATTTTTCTCTTGAAAAGAAACAGATCACTCTAATTTTGTCATCGCATTCTCATTATTTTTTTTTCTCCTAAAATTGTTTTTGTAGTATTTTAACTTTATTCTCGGAAGACTTATTTTCAGAAGTAATACAGATGCAGACCTAGGACAAGTTGGCCTAATTAAAAATAATTTTCAGTGAACGGCACCGAATGAAAATTAATTCAGAAAAAAAAGGTTTGGGTTGATCAGATTGGCTGGTCATTTATTTAAACAAACAGGTAAGCTATTAAAGAAATACTGACTGGCTGGTCATTAAGGTCGCTCGCTCATTTCGTCGGTTCTTATGCAAATAAGTCTAAATCTCAAACAGGCTAACAAAGTTTGCTCCAATAAACGTCTCGGCACAGCCTGGAAGCAAACATCGCATTGTTCCATCGACAGAGAACATCTTGCACTTCTTTTTTTAGTGTGACTTTCATGAGACGCTTGCGACTTAAAAATAACCGACACTACAAAGTGTGTAAAACTGCAGCGCTGTGCCAGTTTCGAGTGGATTTAATTCCGATAGTTGGGTGAAAAATAGTTCGCACGCATACAGAAAAAAAAAAAAAAATCAGCTGTGAGGAATACAGAACAATACTGGGTCGGAAGTAAACTAAGTGTTGTAGCCTCAGACGCTGAGGTCGAGTTTGCTTGTTTCATCGTTGCTACCAAACCATGAGGAACCATTTGGAAATTGTTCCCAATTTTTATTTTTGTTCGTTTTAGCGTACGGCGCTAACGCTGGGTAGCTCGAAAAGTAAACTCGACTTTTGGGTTCTGGCCAATTAAGGGATTGGCATATACTCCTTTTCCTTGTTTGGGATCGCACATCTCATCATCACTAGCGACATTTGGGTGTTAAATACAAGTCAACAGAGGACTGAAGTTTGGTTTCGTATTTTGTGTTACAAAGAAGATACATTTTACATCCCTCTATGAACCACCAATACTTGACAGATTTTTCTTTTTAGGGTAGCAAGCTAAAGCTAAAGCTAGGATCATGAATGTAACTTCTGTGTTTTAGCTTGACTAAACATGGCTGTTCCATTTCTATGATTAAAAACGGTGGAAGACAGCGGCTAACAGAGGGAAGACTGGCATTTGGATGAGTTTCAAAATGTTACATCTCGACGCATCAACCGCCAGGTTTTTGTTCAATCCGTTTAACGTAGCGAGGCGACGCCAGGTCATTCAGATATTTAATCCGACTTGTTTGAGTTCTGGGCTGACTCAGGGAAGGGTATTTCACTACACTGTATTGATCAAATACGAGTCAAAGTCAGGAGACACTTAGGTTTGGTTCACGCAGCTTTCATCTTCACCTGAAGTTTGGCTGGTGATTTTTGTATTTGGTTTCGAAAAGTGGATTTTGTTTTTTTTTTTCCTTTAACATTAGCGTAATGAGGTAATGCTTGTTTAGCTATGATATTTAACTGTATTGTAGTTTGTTTGGGTTCTGGCCAGACTGAGTACGAGTATTGGAATATACTGTATTTGGTTGATGTACAAGGAACGTCGGATGCCAAGGTCTGTTGCACATCTTTCATCTTAGCTAACAAGTCGCTCGCGACCATTTGGGTGCTAACCGAATTGTAAAACAGAAAACTGAAGTTTGGCTCGGACGATTTATATTTTGTATCACAAAGATGAGGAAATGTTGAAAATTGTCCCAATTGTTCTTCTTAGCGACGTGAGCTAATGCTCGAGGTTTTAGCTCAACGAGTACGTTTCCTTGATTGACTACTGTTCACAATTGTACAAATGTGAATGACTGTTCGGAATTGCTCTTTCAATGCCATAGTTGCATGAAGCAAAATAATGCAGCAAACATCGTTGTTTGTTAGCATGGATGTAGCGCAGCCTATTTCTCTCAATCTGTGTAGGCATCCAGTTCGCATCCATTGCTTCAAGACACAATTGATCGGCGAGTAATAATCGATCACCCATCCCTAAGATGGATGTGTAAACATTCACTTTTTGGTTTGCACATGTGATGAGCCTTTAATATGAAATAAGAGGCACAACAAAGGTGCCGTTGGGGTTAAAAATTCATCACGGGAGAACGCAAGCTAAAAATGAAATAGATTCATTCATATACCTTATCAATTAAAAAAAAAAAAAACTTGTACAAAAATTAAAGTGTTATCTCGTTTTGGGTTTGAGTGTTAACCGCGACAACCAGAATAATCTGGAATATTTTCAGTGTTGTCGTTCATCTGAGCTCCGGCATCCATCAAAAAAAGAAGGCGTTCAATCTAAGCTTGTCCCTGCAACTTGTTTAGCTTGTAAATTTGCTTTGTGGGTGTGTGCTTCTGTAGTTATCCTTTTGTTTTGTTTTTGTTTTTTTTGTTCCCCTTTCCTGACACGAAAATGCGCAAGAGGCGGGTTGCCGGCGACAAGCGTTTTCTCAGCTCTCGTCATCCGGGTGATGTTGTTCCAGCAGTCGCACGTGGGTGAAAGGGAAGTGGCCGCGCTTGCCTTTGCACTCGCCCTCCCACTGGCCGTTCACATTGATCTTGGTCACTTTCACCATGTCGCCCACCTGGGGAAACCATACCAAAAAAAATAAATCAATAAATGACGTGGAAAATATCAAGAAAGGTAGACAGATGGAAACTAGTCGGTTTGGCTACGTGTAGGGTCACACTGGAGAGAAACTTTTTTTCTTTTCAGCACGACTATTCTTGTAATATTATAATTATTCTCATAGTATAATAGCTTTTCAAATACTGTAAGCAAAGCGTGCACCAAGCAACATGACTGCAAGGCAACTGTCTTAACATCTGCTTTCGTGCTGCTGATGCTACTCTTTTACAAATAAATCTGTCTAATCTCAGAGACGGGTTGCAGTCAATCTACATTATCACCATGATGGTGTCATTTCGCCAGCAGCCAAAATACATTTAAGTCGCAGACCACGCACACTTAGCAGTGTTTCATTTCACCATTATGCCACCCGAGTGAGTTATGCTCTCGATCTGTGGGCAGTTTAATCCACAGTACACGTCACCGAGTGGCAATTTAATGATCTGACTTGTCAGTCTGCCATGGGACTTCAAATCATATCAACCGCAGAGCTCATAAAGCGCCGGTGAAACATGAGGAATTGAGAGGAGGCTGTATGCAGAGCAGGTACAGGAATAGAATCAGACAGGGAGTACTGTACTCTTGTTTTACGACAGTTTCATTCCTACAGCGGCGACGTATCTGAATTTCTTTTGTTCAATTGTATTTATTGCAAACATTTGTATGGGGGAAATCTAAAAGCAGATTCACAGTGGTTGAGAATCACTGGTCAATTTGCTGAACTATCAGCTCCCACAATGCTTTGCTAGGCCGCACAATGAGACGCTCCCGTTACAATGTACAGAGTGTTGCATTCATACGCTCATCCGTGCGCGCCGTCAGCTCACGTTTGTAAAGCTACTTTTGTGCAAGTGCGCAGAGGCGTGACGAGGCCATTTAGCGGACGACGCGTTCTCGGCTGAAGCAAATGAGGACAACGGCGAATGTCGGGGATGGCCCGGCGGGGAGGGTGTGGTGTGGGGAAAAACAACAACAAAAACACTACCTCCAGGGCCAGTGCAGTCTTGTCGTAGGCGTTGGGCACTCTCTTCTGAATGGCCCGGGCGTACACTGGCCCGTTCTGTAGGTTAGGAAGCTGGGTGGCGACCACCGGTTGGGCGTACTGGCCCGGGTCACCCAGGGCCTGGGGCGGCCCTGTTCCGTCGGTGCCAGCTGCCGCGCCCCCAACCTGACCCCCTTGTCCCGTGCTCGCCATGGGGGCACCCGGGCCGGCCGCCGTGGGCGAGGCGGGCCGGTACTTCTCCACATAGGGGACGGGGATCATTCCGGCGCGCCCCTCCTGGTTGGCGGCGTTCCACCACTGCTCCTCCGGCTTCTCCAGCACACGAAGGATGTCACCCTTGCGGAACGGGAGGTCCTCATCGTCGTTGCCGAGGAAGTCAAAGAGTGCCCGGACAAACTCGGCCTCCTCGGTCTGCTGCGGGGGCGCGCCGACAGAGCTGATGAATCCCATGTGCTTGGATTTGGCGATGGGCTCGATGAGTGTGGTAGTGTCCAGGTAGTGGATCTTGTAGAACTCCAGCAAGGCCGGCAGGGCCTCGAACTCCTGATCACCGATGCGAAACCGCGGAGGAGCCACGCCTGGCAAATCAATGAATGCTTGGTTAAACACAAGGAACAGAAAAACGTAGACCGGAGGAGGCTTGATTATCTCAACCAAGGACTAATTTAGACAATGATATCTTGAAATGAGATGCCATGAATTCATTCTAAAAATAAAATAAACGTTTTAAAAAATGTAGTTAGGCCAAAGGTAGTATTCACGTTGACGAATCTTTCATGGCCATGGCATAATGAACGATGTCAGGGCCTCTTGATTGTCCATTTACCACGCAGTTCACCTCGTATAATTCATCTTTTCGCTGCCCCTTGCAAGTGTTTTCATTTTGTATTTGGGAGCTTGACCGTCTGTCCCATTCAATGACTGTTGCTCTCTCTTTTTGCTGCCAACTGACACTGACATCTCAGCTTGCGAACATAACGTGACCAAACCCGGAAAAAAGGTGAGCTGTGACGTAAGCAAACTGAGCCTATGGGACTGTGAAGTCGATTTCAGGCGACAGCAGGTGGCAGTACGGGACAAAATGGTAGCTACCTAAGATGAATAAAAACAGGCAGATGTTTCTGCTTAATTCACATTCTACAAAGTAATATTAATTATTAGACAATGTTTGGAGTAGTTGGGAGTGAGGTTTTTTTTAAATCAAAGTTTGTGTCATATTTACTGTTCAAACTGTTTAAAATTAGAAATTTTTTTTAATGGGAAATCAACTACTTGCATTTTTTTTTTTTTGCAACTACAACAGGTTTACAGCACTAAGTTTTGCCAGTGGAAAACCATCAACTGCAAGTTGAGCATTGTCAGGCTGAGTCGGTACCATGAAGCAGAAAAGGCAACATAAAGACATTTTGCGAACACCCATTGACTCTCTCTGTTACTTTGTCATAAACGCCATACAGGAAACAAGGTGGTAAAAGCAAACCAAAGCAGAAGACGGCCAAGAAAAAGGGCAAAGGTTGTGCAATAAAAAGTCAGAAGCCGGGCTGTGCATGCGCACGACCAGGCCGGATGACAGACATTCCACGAAGGCCGATGTGACCAGTCATCCCCCCATACCCCACCCCCGGTTGTGACAGCACAGCCTGCCCAGTTCCATTCAAAAAAAAAAAAGAGGAAGCTTACAGTACTTAGCAGAGCAGGCAAACCAGCCCACACCACCAATGCTGCTTGCCTAAGAAACAGCCAATCATCACTGATCACTCAAATTGTCTGAAGTTGTGATTGTGAGCGCGAATGGTTGTTTGTCTATGTGTGCCCTGCGATTGGCTGGCAATCCGTTCAGGGTGTCCCCCGCCTACTGCCCGAAGACAGCTGGGATAGGCTCCATCATGCCTTCTCCCCTCGTGAGGATAGAGTGCTTCAGATAATGGATTGATGGACTTTTAATTTGCTTTTTTTTCAGGTTCAAGTGTATGGGTGATCATAATTTCAAACTCAATTTTTGATTAGTTGCAGGGGCGTTCAGCTCGGAAGCAAGCAAAACTGCATTTATGAGTAAATTTAGGACCTAGTATAAATTAACATATCTAAACATAATCCCATTAGTATGACAAATGTTTACCTTTTTATTAGTTATTTTTCCCAAGTAAACAAGGTTATCACAATTAGAAAACGCATTAGGACCGAGTATAAATTAACATATCTAAACATAATCCCATTAGTATGACAAATGTTTACCTTTTTATGAGTTATTTTTCCCAAGTAAACAGGTCATCACAGTTAGAAAACGCTGCGAGGTGGGGTGCTGAGTCCAAAAATACCAGAATATATGTCTGTGTTTATGTCCCAACGTTAGCACGTAGTCTAATTTGAACACAACGATTCTAAACATAATATTAGAAATAGACTTATGATTTGCCTTTTTTAGCTTCAAGTTAAGTGTACGGTTACTCCCAATTTTATAATAAAGTCTTGATTGATTCCTGGGGTGTTAAGCCCAGAGTCGCCAAACTGCATTTCGAAAGGGACCACATTCGCACGAAGTTTAACCTTAGCGTGATTCAAACCAAAATTTCACAAATATGACTCATGATTTCAGTTTTTCATATCGAATTCAAATGTACGGGTGATCACAATATCAATTTATTGTATTTTTTTGTGACAGTTTGTGCAATTAACATTTCTTTTCTGCCATGCTATTTAGCCTACGAGCTAGGTCCCAAACGTACCACAGCCTTCCACCGCCACCAACATCGTCTTATTTTATTTTAAAATAAAGTAGCTTCAACGCGTCTTTACAGGAGCCGAATTCTAAAACACACACTTAGAAAACATTATATTCAAGTGCCTCGAAAGTATAGTGGAAGTCCGGTGGTATTATGAGATCAAACGCGTCAAATTGGAGCGTCCACTATGCCTGTTTTGTTCCGAAGGTGGAGCGACGGGGGCCACAGCCTTAGCAAGTCGGACGGCATTTTTAAAATAGTTACAGTCGATCAGGAAAACAGGGCGCTGGGAGCACAAAACACAAACATCATTCCTTACCTGAGCCGGATAGACGGTTATTACTAATGCTGTTGATGATATAATGGGACACTTTGGAGTTCTCGGAAACGGACAGCACGTAGTCCCCAGGGCTGGTTATGGAGTCCCTCACCAGGAAAACGCCGTGCCTCTGTCCCTGCAAAAGAGAAACGGCTTCCTGGCGACTCAGCCTGCCCCAGTACCAACTCGCGCGGTCTTCGGCGTCAAAATTACCGGCCATGACTGAACAATGAACGCCCCGAGGCTCGAGGCCCTGTTCCCCCCCTTCGCCTCTCTTTTTTTATCCGCAACTCATACAAAAAACTTTGGGTCAGGGACGCTCCCCGGCATTGGAAAAAAAAAAGGTGCGCTATCTCGACTTGAGGCGGGTTCTCGCGAGCAACGTTGCCGCCGGGAGGGTTTCTGCGTTAGCGTAGAGAGACGAAAGACTTCCAGACGAATGTTTTGTATGATCAAATAAGCCAAGAAACCCCCAAACAAGCGAGCAAGGAGAAAACTCCCGGACTGAAATGGCGGATCTAGGGAAAAGTTGACCTCATCTACCGGAAGGGATGCCTGGTCAATGGGAAGAGGTGCATTCATGAGCCTCGAGAAATGTCGGGGAACAACAAATACGTCGTTCAAATTGATCTTTGTTTAGAATGGTTTAAAATATGATATTTTTAAAAATTTTAATACACATATTTTGGGAACTAATTGACATCTTCTAATCAAGACAACCAATAAAAATGTAATCAATAATCACATTTTAATGAAAAAATGTGTTTTAAAAATTATTTTAAATATTGAAAAAAAATCAAATCTGCTCATATTCATGCGAACAATGTTCAATGTTTTCACGTTTCATTTATGTGGCTCAACAAGGTAAAACAAATACATTTAAAAAAGTTATACACCACAATAAATGCATGGAACTGTGTGTCTGTCAAAAATGTGAAAATTCGTTTGTCATGGAGAAAGGTGGTTAATAATTTGCCCTCTATTCACTACTTAGCCCAATTTATGAAGACCAAGAAGGTGTTAAAAAAACAAAAAAATAAAAAAGAAACACTGCTGCAACCACAATAAAGCACACTGTAAGACGCACTAGTATAAATTGCAATGTTTTAATTTGGCCAGTAGGTGACGATATGCACGCTGTCATCGGCCGCATATTTCCTGTACAATATATTCCCTTCCAAGGGAACAACGTTTGCCTCACAGTGATGAAGTTCTGGGTTTGAATCTTTTAAGGATAGGCTCCAGCGCTTCCACAACTGAAACGCTAAGCGCGATAGAAAATGGATAGATGGGTGAAAACATTTATTAGAATGGAAAACATTAGAAAATGGCTTTATTCTGACACATTGCAAAAGGCTATTCTGGAGCATGCCCACGTAGTTTTTGCACATCCACATCAGCAGTATTGTTAAATCGTGGGGTTTAGCTCCGAAGTCGCTTTTGTAAACACCGCAACAGCATAAGAGACACACGAAGCACGAACACTCGCGTCACAATTCTTCTTCAAAGTCTGGTAATATGACAACAAAAATGTGCATCTTTGCACTCTTCTCTGATGCAGAGTGACGGTTAGCTACTCGAATGTCTTCAGGTGGTTGTAGAGGGACTGGACATAGGTGAACACGCACATGGGGTCCGGTTTGTCGCCCATTTCCAGCATGTCATCCACCTCGATCAAACGGAGACAGTCGGCCTGGGTTCTGACACGGGAGGGCAACCGGGGGAAATGTCGTAAATTAATAGTGTCAAATAGAGGTTTGTCTAATATAAAAGTTCACCACCCCCGATGCAAAAGATTAGACGACTGTCACACAATAAACACCACAGACATGACCATTTAACTTGCCTTGATTCTTGCACCACTATTCTCCTCCAATTCACGTTTTTTAGCTCCTCCGCGGCCTTAAAACAGAAATGAAATTGTTAAGCTGGGCTGACACTTACCAAAAGTGGTCAAAGGGCGAGCCATATTTAACATTTTTTTTATTCATCACACTCAACAAATACGCAACCCCGAAACAATATGTGCGGAAGGCTTAACCAAGTAGCTAACATCGCTAACTTTACTGGTTGAAATGATACAAAAAAAAAAAAAAAAACTTACTCGGCCGTTGAGAATGCCAGCTGGAGGTTTTGCTTTCGGTTGGCGGGCTTTAGCTAGAGGGACTGGACATAGGTGAACACGCACATGGGGTCCGGTTTGTCGCCCATTTCCAGCATGTCATCCACCTCGATCAAACGGAGACAGTCGGCCTGGGTTCTGACACGGGAGGGCAACCGGGGGAAATGTCGTAAATTAATAGTGTCAAATAGAGGTTTGTCTAATATAAAAGTTCACCACCCCCGATGCAAAAGCCGTATTTCCTGAAATACTATCCATTTCCATCCCTCTAATTAGATGCTGTGCCCCGATGAATCAATTCCGACTGAAAATAAATAAAACACCTTTTTCAAATAGATTATTCACATTCAAGAAAAATAGGAAAAAGTTCAACCAACTGCTAATATTCTCAAGCAGAAAAAAACGAAATGGGCAGGATCTCGGTTCATCTTCAGTTGAGGCAATAAAGACCAGGCCTCCATTGGTTTGAACGGTGGCAGACACGTTCCGAAATCGAAACCAAAACGCTTCTCCCCAATGCAAAAAAAAACCCCAAAAAACTTACTCTGCCGTTGAGAATGCCAGCTGCAGGTTTTGCTTTCGGTTAGCGGGCTTCAGTGTGTTGTAGTCGAACTCCAGCGGGAAGAAGGAATGGACCAGAGCGCAAAAGGCCATGCCGTCACTCCAACTCGAGGAGAAGTTCTGGATGTCAATGTTCTGCGGGAGGAATCGTTTGATCAGTTTATGAAACAAATGATGTCAAGGTTTTCCAAGAACTGAGGTTTTTGGAGTCCTAAAATGGGTCACCGATTGGGCTTTTATTGGGTTGCAGAGACCAAACTATTCCTTTAGGCTACAAGCCATTAAGAAGTCATCAGTCCATAAAATTTCCCCTTTCAAATGATCCTTAAGTTCCAGTCCAGAGTACCCCAAATTTTTGTACCTGGTAGCCGATGGTTTTCGAGCGGCACCACTCCAACAGGATATTTTTGATACCACTGGCGCTGGTAACGCCAAAGCTCTGGGAGCGCTTCAGCTTGGGCTTGGAATCCTTCGGCCTATTGCATAGAAATGCCCATTACTGTCTGGAAATCAGTCGGGCATGGAAATATTTCAGAGCCAACCGACAACGTAGCCTTTGCTGGGGTAAAAACAAAGAAAAAAAGCTACAATTAACTTCATTAATTGCTGTGTATGCTTCAGTGGTACGAACTTGACGGGGTCGGAGTTCATCCTCTCAAAGAGGGCACGTTTGGCCTGAGCTCCGCCAGCACGAGGAAGAGTGTTGGACTTGGTCGGCTCTTGCTTGCACTCCACAGGAGGGGAGTTGGCTTTCCTGGGGAGAGGAAAAACAGCTCAAATCGACCGCAGGTACAAACACCAGCGTAGGAAAATGTACCTCAGGGCTCGCGGTTGACTTACTTTTCAAAACCAGATGAGAAACCTGGTTTTATGACTGATTTGGAGGGAAGTAACTTTTCTGTAGATATTAAAAAAAAATACTTTACTGTTCAGATTATAAACGACTGAAGAGATACGGATACAGTCCGTTTGTATCTCGGCCAAGAGAGATCCAGAAGGCGGAGTTATCAAGACTGGAGCAGAACTATTTGTATGTCCATCTAAAACATCAGAGAAGAATTGACTTGTTTTTACCTGCCGGTTGAGGAAAGCTGACACTTCTTTTTAGAATCGGACTTGGCGTCTTGAGAACTGGAGCTGCAGTGAGGAACCAAAACATGTTTCAAGTATACCTGACGGCAGACCTTGTTTGAAGACCGTCGCTCTACCTCGGATTGGCACGGACAGTACCTCGCTTAAAGGGGTATTCCGGTTTAGCAATTGGGTGGGATGCCGGTGAAGCAATTGGTGTTGACATGGCGGCGGTTTTGTCCGAGGTCGAGGGACCCGATTGCGGCTTGGCATCGGTGACATCTAATCAGAAGATCCATTTTAGAAGGTAACCCAAGAACGAATGAATAGGGCCATTGATTTGGTGTCGAAAGGACTCACCGCGTCGAAATGGATACTCTCCTGGTTTTACGCTGTGGGATTCTGGCAAAAATTGAGTCTGAACAGATTTAGGTGCAGCGTCAGGGTTGCTTCTGCTCACATCTGTGAGGGGAAGATGTGCCAAAGAAGCCGATTGATCCTGGGATGCAAGGTCCTTGGATCCAGGTACACCTTCGAGAGGAAATACTTTTCTGGACTTGGCCTCAACTCCTCCAAGTTTCAGTTGTGACTTCATCCCAACTGCTTAAAGTCTCGCTGGAGTCAGTCTGAGTCCCTCAAAGTTTTGGTTTTGAATGTCTTTGGACTTGACTTCGTATCAACCCCTCAAGGTCTTTAGTCTTGACTGCATCTTCAATCCTCAATGTTTTGGTCTTAACATAAGTTGCGACTTGGTCTCGCCTCTTTCGAGTCTTGGTATCAACTTGGCTTATCTGAACTCTTCTAAGTCTTGTTTTTGATTTGGTCCTAAGCACTCAAGGCCTTGGTTTCAACACTTTTAAGTCTTGGACATTTCTTGGACATAACAGGACTTGGTCTAAACTTGATCTCAACTCCTACAAGCCTTGTTCTGAATTGAGTCTCAAAACTCAGCAGTCTTGTTCTAAAACTCAGTTTCGACTCTAACTCTCGGCGTTAACTCGGTCGAAGCAGCCTGGCCCACCAGATGGCACTATTTTCCCGTCTTTAAGAATTTTCTATCTAATACAGAGCCAAAAATATCTCATCCGTTACAAATAACAACCTCAAGCTTGATAACATTTTCACTTCTGGTGTGAACTATTATTAAAATTAATCACAAATGATTTGGATTGTTGTCGCAGTTTATTGTGACTATCAACTACTCACCGCTGATATTTTTGAATGATTTCGTGGCGGTTTCTGTTGCCGCTTTAGCCATGGGAGCTGCAGAATGGGCAGAATGGGCTTCCGAGCTGACTCTCGTCATTGCAGTGATGGGAGGATGATGTTCGGTCGGACTGTCAAACTTCTCCTGGACTGAACGCATTCAAAGACAAAATGAATCGACGACTAATTTTGAAATCACAGCGCGAGGAGACACACAAAAAAAGTCTGCTCACCTTGTTTCCTGCTCTGGTGTTCCACTGAGGCAATGTGCCTCTCTGCCTGGGCCCCCATTCCCTATTTCAGCAGAGTATGACACATGTCAAATTTTGACGTGTTTCACATCAGGCCGTCGGGTTCAAACGGGCCAAATGATGGGAGTGACGATCATGATCAATATTGCCGTTAGCTGGCTTAGGTGATGTAAAACGCGCGCAGCTGTTGTCCTGTCTATTTGTGTCGGCCTTAGCAACGCAACGTCGCGACTCCTGTTGACTGTTTACGTTCCAGGGTGTATCCCCTGTCATCGTGGACGATGATTCCACAGTGACATTTTAAGCCGACTTGCGCTAAAATAAACTCGTAGCAATGTAGCCCACCGGACATCCTGCAATCGACTGTCATGGAACGTTCGTGTTGCGTAAAACTAAGTTGTTTACCGCGGAACTTGGTCGGAGATCAGGATGTGACTTACTGAATTGCCGCATGCATAATTTTATACGAACTTTATTCCTCATTTTCATATTACTCATTAAAAGGAAGAGTTTTTGGCTCATCGAGCTATCGGATGCTGCTGTAAACAACAACAACAATAAATGGCGAATACAAAGGCCAACGAATCTAAGGTGTCCCATTCAATTACAGGCTAATGTCACTTAGCAGATGAACGATTATCCTCATTGACAGCTCAGGCCATGTGTGTTCCCACTAAGAGGCTATTTTAGACGTCGCAATGGGCCCCGTTTGCAAGTTTCCCTTCTGTTCTTCTGTCCCAATATAGCCCCAAATGGATGCTTAGCAAAATCAGGGGGGGGGAAGCGCCTAACTATATCACCCTGAAACCTGGCCTTTATTTGCCGCAAACCCCCCCACCCTGCTGCAAACACCCCAAACCTCTTTTGATTTCCACTGGGGGTCTGGCAACTCTTATAGCCAGACTCCCAATCTGTCAACTCGCCACCAGGATGGGAGATTAGCGCCTGCGTGATCTGTGGGCTCCCGCGATAGCCTCAGTAGGATATCGCAGTCCGACTCCATCTGACCCCCGCAATCCGTTTAAAACCTGAAGTCCCGTCCACCTCTGGGAACATCTTGGAACCATGCAAAGGCCAGCATGCCCGCCTCTTACAGATCGGCCTAAAGATTACAGCAATACTGTCCTTCTCTTCCAGTAGAACCTCCGATTGGTGAAGTCACATTGGTTGATGACTTCGAAAGACGATACCAAAGTGGCTGTCTTACTGTTCAAGATCAAGCAGGGGTCCTAGAGTCTTTTTCGTGCATCCTGTCAGGGGCGTGCAAAGAGTTGGGCCGACGGGGCGGGGTCCTCGAGCATCATTCTTACCTAAGGCTACCCCCCCAAAAAACTTTCCACCTTGAATTTAAAAAAAATAAAAGACGAAAAAACCCAGACACTTGTCTATGGCACAAGAAGTTCTATTTCGGACTCTCTAGATATCATCACACTTCTTCCTTATTGTTGGCTCGCCAATTAACGTAATTCAAATTTCCATTAAGAGATCTGATAGTCGATTTTGAGGTTTATTTTTGCTGTATGACTACATCATGGCATGATACAAGAACTGTTTTACTCTTGTTATAAACGCATGGGTCCCTTTCAGAGCTCCTTGATGATCAGCTATCAATTACTCTGTTAGTCCTACTACCCTGGCATTCGTACGCATGGACGGCGTTTAGGAAGGAATACGACGAAAGCCGATATGGAGCACATGCCTCGGCCCAACGGGGCCACTCCGGACTGCAAAACGTGGCGCCAATAATAGTCGTGACCTTTTGGCGGTGATGGTCGCGGCAATAAATCGCGGGGCCACGAGGGGAAAGTGGCGTTAGGGAAGGGAGCGAGTGTGTGAGGATATAATCGCGTGACATGATATTCGTGATGAGAGGTTACCGTCAATGAACGCATGATAACTTAAGGAGGTGAATCGTCAGGTCATCGCAACCGCAGAATACGGTCGCTAGGTTCACCGCCGTTGCCCCTGAGCCTTGGTTTTACAGAAAACATTCCTGAAAACAAACGTTAGCTAAAGCAGGTGATCAGGATTGAGACTGGACGGCAGGTTCAAATGACTGCAAGGGTTTTAGCATCAAGATCATTTGAATTATTTCCAGTAATGATTATTTTTGAGGGAGGCCGCATCATTTCTACGTGATCACTCCGACTTTCTGCTTTGACGATTGGCAGTAATGGGATACCGATTCGGGGCTGTTCGCACTAAAGCAGACATTTTGCAAACCCATCGGAGTCGTATGTCAGAAAGTGTCTCGCCCGAAAAGTTTTTCTTTTGGGTAGGTCTGGGTTTGGGCACTTAACTGGTACCCAATAGTTCCTCGCAACCCGAAAGAACGGCTGCACCCTCATTTTTATCCCTGGTTTTGCGGAACCATGCCTAAAAAAATCACAGTTTCTGCTTTAAACAATAAATACCTAAAAAAACATTTCAGGCAGAAGCCGCTGTCTTTTCACAACCCGTCACAGCAGTGGCACCCTTGAAATGGAACTCAAAATACACTTTAGAAAGCAAGTACCAGGGGGAAACGATCAGGACTTTCACTTAATTTCAAGTAGGGGTGGATTTTTTTTTTGCATCAAAATCTTCAAGTATTTTGTCTTTTTAGTTATTTCGGGATGACGTGAATGATTGAGAGTGATCTCCTTTGAATGCTTACATTAATTTCCTTTGTTTTCCATGGTGGTAGGGATCCGGATGTAGCCAGACCCACCGGGCATCTCTGGCCTTCCCGGTTCCGAGACTGCATCTCTAGAAGCCCGTTCTCCGCACCCTGTTCTTTATTCTTCCCCTTCGACATGGTGGTGGGGAAGTTCCTGTCGATTTGCACCCCGGCGAGAGACTCGACCAGGCGGCTGAGGGCCTCCAGCTTGGAATGGAGCTGCAGGTTCTCCTCCTGCAGCCGGCCCACTGCCTCGGCAAGAGGCCCGCTGGAGGCGCTCATCTCTTCGATACGCTGCTCGATGCGCTGCTTGAAAGCGCTCACGTCCATGTGGACCTCCCTCACGGCCGCCTGCAAGGTGTCATTGAATTCCACCAGGGCCTTGCTGACCATTTTTTCCTCGGCACCCTTTGCGCCTTGGTCCATGGCTGTCTAGTAAGTACCAGGGTTCGAGTCCAGAAACAAAGTGTTCTCTCACTGACGTCTTTTCTTTCCCAATGGAAACTCTCAACAGATACCTTGCATGTCCAGACTAATAATCCAGCATGGATGCTTTAAATGGAATCGCAAGGCGCCCTTACCAGCTGCTCATTAAAGTCCCATCAAGGAACTTGGACTTCTTTCAACATGCGTCTTCTCTTTCCCTTCGAACTTGATCTTGCGTCTTCGTTCATTGAATGGAAAATCTGCACATACATACATGCTGTTAGCGGGCGGGGGGGACAAGGTTTGGCGTTCAGATCAAGTTTGCAAACAGGGATAGGCATTAAACAAACCTTCCGAAAGGATCTGGTTCTAGTCCCATCCTCTTCCAATCTTTGCCGGTGAGTCTATCACTTCCATTCCCCTGGACACTCAGTGGCCCATATGGGTTTGTGAGCAACAGGCTTGTCTATGTATTTTGGGACATAAAGGGGGGGAGAGGGGGGGGAAAGGAATAGTTAGGAGGGGCTTGAATTATTTGTTTGTGGCCTCCCTTGGCAACCAGTGATAAGATACTTGATGGACAAAAGTATTTGGACTTTAGTAGTTATACTTACAAAAGGTGAAAAATGGGAACATTTTCCCCAATTTTCTTCCTGCTCACCATGATTAACGATTACTCACCATCTCCACTGAAGTTCAGGTGCATTCCTGGATTTTGTTTTACAAAGTGGGAACAGGGGAAAAAAAAAATCATTCGTTGTGCAAAGACATAATGTGATGTGTACCAAATAACGAGACGTGTGTCCAGCATTTCTGATTCTGCTATGAGGGATGACTACTCAACAGCTTCACTTTGAATCAACAGCGCCTCTGAGTGGCAGGGATGTCAAACTACAATTTATGGGACAGTGCAAACAAAACAAAACTTGTAAGCAGAAAATGTAAATTCACTTCAAAAGCTGGACATCCTTAAATATATCTTTTTTTTTGCATTTTGGGGATTTCTGGATTGATGTTTGAGTTACAAATGACACAGACACACAAGGTCAAAAGACTATCAAATCAAGTTTATTGATTTTTTTTTTAAAGGGGTGCCCAAGTTGAAACTTTCTCACATCGGTTTTTGTCTTCTTCATATTTTGTCATAAACAATCCAGTCCCCAAAAATATCAAGCTACAAAACAAGGCCCAAGCCATCAAAGTCTGCTCTTTACCCATGAAAATATTACGACACTATCAAGAATAAAGCAAGGGGTGGGGGCAGGAAGTGATAAAAAGATTGTGCCTCGGTGCATTGACTGACCAACCGCAAAGGCGTATGGGAGACATGAGCCAAATCTGAGAAAGCTGAAAATAGTCTAAACCACCATCAGGAGCACAGCAACCAAATGTAAGCCTTTGACATATTGCGTATGAATGTATCAGTTCCATCATTTAAAATAAACACTAGATGCATCAAAAGGTAATTTTAACTTGAAAGTTGCATAAATTAACCGGAATCAGTTGTATTGATGCTCAAGCGGTAAATACAAATAAAATCAAATGATAATGATACATATGTTTTTGAAATGTTTCAAAATGATTACCAACTTCATGGGTCTTCCGTGATATGCTGGTGATGATAAATGAGCCACAACCTGTAAACGCCGCCTACTAAATTTTCTTTTTCACAAGGCACCGGAAACCAAATTTGGTTCGCTGTCCATTGATTAAAATCACCCTAGCATCACATCTCAGCTCAAATAGTTGTGCATGTCTGTCAAGACAAAATCTGCATTCACATCAGGAAAAAAAAAAGGGTCACATCGCTGCATTATCAAAGTGTGTGAAACTGAAATAGATGATTTGTTCTCCTCAGATGTGGGAGTTCAAGTTCAATAAAAGTGCTTTGATTATTTTCACCTTCAAAATAGATGCTACACATGAGCAGAACGGTTACCTCAGTTGGTAAATTAGCAGAAAGAAAAAAAAATGAAAAAAACTTTTTTCGGCCACAGAATCAACAACCGAGTACTCTCTCCTATTTGATTTGAGCGTTAGCATGTGGCAGCATCTCCATATGTCTATCTGGTCCTCGCTAGCTCACATGGGCAGCAATACAAACATTTTAGCTCGGAGACGACTGCGACGCGAGAACGTGTGCTGGGGGCGATAATTGAGAACCAAAAGGGCTTGACAATTAAAATCCCCAGAATCAGGGTGTTAGCATTAGTCGATAGCTGACAAGGCTAGGCTAGTCTTGTATCAGCTAAAGGTGATGTGTAATTAGCTAGCATTTTCACAACATGCTAATGCTAACACCTAGCGTTGCCATCCCCATTATAGTGCTGTAGCTGCCCTAAAGCCAATGACATCCTTTTTTTCTGGTAATTTTTACGTAAATAACACATACACAAACTATTATTGGAAGAATCTGGAAAAAAAAGTCACTTAAATTTGGGAAGAATAACATTTATGTGTGTTTAGCAGCCTTTTGAAGAGATGGTTTACTGATATTACACACAAAAACTACAACTGTTATAAATATGACAATGTTCTCCACATTACTCACGTGCTAGGATGAACTAAAGTGCCTGACAGTCTTTGGTTTGCCAACCAGTAGAAAGATATTAGGAAGAAGTAGAAGATAGATCGTGTGATGATAGTTTAGAATCTGTGTTGCCATTGTGTCATAGTGGCATGATACACACCATCGTCTTCCTAATAATCGTCATCAAACCCTGAGCAGATAGGATCAACTTAAGACGATCAAAATGAAACAATGAAGTTTGCAGGCCTTTCACAATTCAAATTGTTGATTTAAAGTCAGTGATTAGACTAATTCATACAAATATCTGCACGTGCTGTGTTGAATCAATCGGACAATCTTAACTCAAGGCTGGATTTACGCTGCAGGGGGGTACAAGTGTATGAAAGTTTACCATTTTGTTCGGTCTCAAGTGTGTGTGTGTGTGTGTGTTTGTGTATTAACTGTAAAATATTGTGATTCTGTGTTTTATACACCTGTGCATTGAAACTCAGCATATTTGTGGTCCAGCATTCACGAATTAGCTTATTTGTGGCTTATTTTATCATCCAATACTCACTAAAAAGTGCAGCTGTAAATCTGAAGCAAAGCAAAAGCATAGAAAATTCTATGTGCTACATTAAGGTCATGTCCATCATTAAAATATGCAAAATAATCGCAATGGCGGCCAATGGAGTGATGTGGGGGTTACCCTAAATTAAATAAAATGGGGTGAAGTGCCAACCACGGTCACGCCATGTTAACATTTAATATTCTCATGATGGATGTACTATTGTTAATTGTTGATGTTTAGATATTTGTGAACTTATTTACAAGATAATTTGGGCATCTGCGCATGTTTTGTGTGTGTGTGTGTGTGTGTGTGTGTGTGTGTGTGTTTTCCGCCAACATAACCATAGCCACTGTGAAAAAAAAAAACAAAAAAAACATTGCGTTTAAGCATTAAATTGGAAGTTTGCAATGGGACCTGCAGTGTAAATCCAGACAGTACAACAAAAAAGTGAACCGCAAATGATGCTCTAAACAACGACAGATCAAGAAATACTATTACAATGAGAACGATGCCGTCAAAGGATGGACAAAAACTAGAACAAGGGTTCCAGGTAACATTAAAAACGTGCATAGTATAGAAATGTAATACCCACCGAGCACAGCTACTCGGAATATTAATCCAAAGGGCCTGATGTGTTAAATAAAAATGTCAAACTGTTGTGCACCATTATCGTCACACAGGGGGAAGGGAAAAAATTTGCCTCATTTGCGATTTCATCTACATTTTCATGTTAGCACCACTTATTTGACTAATCCAACTCTGCTTTTCCACGTGCTTTAAATACCGACAAAAAAGTACAAAGCAAAAATGTTTTTCAGCAATATTTAAAACTAAAACAAATACATATATTATGGTTAATAAGGCTATGGCTACTTGAACCATCTTCTTAGCGAGCGCAAACAAGATTCCATTAAGAACAATTTCAAATCTTTCACCTGGAATGCAATGTGGTAAGAGGAGTGGAAATATGTCAACAAATAAACCACTAAACTACACACACCGGGGCAGGACTTAAAACCAATTTAACGTGACGTCGGTCTTGTAAACATGCAGCGTGGCCATCTTTTTGCATAGATTCCAGTTTTCCGGGGGAATTAAGTGAAATACAAAGCACGCTAACGTATTCTGAGTCAATTTGTCATCTATAAAGCTTTACAGTACACAACAGACTGAGTGTCTTGGTCATGTTACAAATAAACAGTGCAGCATTCTTATGAAAGTCAAAGTTCTAATCTACGATGGTTAGCAGTAGCTACTAGCTTCTTGAACACAATCTGCCTTTGCACAACCCAGTAGGATATTGCTCTCTTATGGCTCCGATTGTACCTTGAAGGTGGAACATTGCAGAGTCAATTTCATCACCGTCTAGTTCCAGAAGAGCATCTTGGATGGGGGTGGAAAGGCGGGAAAACGCAGAATTGTAGAGGCGCGGTAAAAGGGGCTAATGATTGAGAATAATAAGATTCCTTTTGTGTCAAGTAGTTTATATGTTAAGATATATTTGCGATGATGTAAATCTCTAAAAACCTGAAAGTGTATAAAGCCCTCAAAATCTCGCCGGTCACTTGCGCTAACCGGCTAACGCTAGCTCACCTTATTGCTCGTCTCTTGAGGCACCGGCTGACTGTAGAGTGAAAACTTATCTATCTTTCCAGTGGATCATTCACGTTAAAATTCGACTATCCTTCATGTAACAATCTATGGACGACGGAGGTGCCTAGCATACAGAGCTAATACCGTACGCTGGATGCTCGCACGTCATCATCTCCGGTTAATACTGCCTGCCTAAGCACTGTTCAGAGAACCTCTTTTCTGTGCGATTAAACTGTGTATATTTTGTGTTTTAAATTTGAAAAATAAAATAATAAAAATTACAGATTTTTCATCATTGAGTTTCAGGCTCAGATCACATATCAAAATCGGGCTCCAAGACTGTTTGATGGCAATGAAATTTACAAATTACGTTAGCTTGCATTACTTTGGTAGCCGCCACAATCTGTTCGGAACAAGACCGCGATCCACCAGTAATATAGCATTATGTATTTTTTAGAGGAGGAAAATGCGAATTGAGAATATTTTCATTGTTTTTTTTCAACTATTGCATAATAATACAGGAACTGCTTCTGTGCATCAGTTGAATGATTGGGGCGTTGGAACAAGCTAAAATATCTTGCAGCCATTAATTTCCTACGCCGCTTATCTTGTGTTATATATATTTTATTCATTTTCTATTCAGGTTTGCATTTTTGATCCAAGCCTATCTGAAAAATCTGTAACAGTTTATTTTTATTTATTGAGTCAGAATAAAAAACTAATGAGTCACTTTTTCATTTTTGGAAAGCCAATTGAAAATAAAACCAACGATTGATACGCATATTGATCAAATGAGTGACTCAGAACCACCACTAAAATACAAAACACAAATAAATACCTGTAGTAGCGGCCACTTGCTCGCACCCTCAAAGACCTTCACAGCAAAATGAGAATGATTGTGTCCACCACGCGTTTTCTACACTTCCTGTTGGTGTGAACGCTCGGCAAGATCCACAGCCGGACCAGGCTCAAAATGCCAAAAATCAGTAGTAGTTTCTTGGGAGAGGTCCGCTGTTAGCATCAAATTCCAAACTGGTAGGGTGAAATTGTGCAGTGGTTGGGGTGGGGTAGACACCAGCGGTCCTCCTGGACTACAGTACAATGGCGGGAGGTCGGATTATGAGAAGTACAGTAGTTATGTTAGGGCGCGTCTTAGACAACCAGTGATCACTGGTCCTTAACAGGCGGCGCGGGCGGCCGCCGACTGCGCTGGTACAGGCGGTAGCCCTTTCGGCACAGTAGGACGAACCAGTAGACCTGCGGCGCCAGGATGCAGAAGTTGCCCAGGTTAGCGGCGAGCGACAGGTGGAAGGGCACGGCGTAGAGCGGGATGCCGTAGTGGCGGCCGTAAGCCCAGTACATGTAGGGGAAGAGGGCGATGCGGCATGTGAAGAAGGTGAGGAGCACCATGCCGCCGTTGTACTTGTGCAGCCAACCATCCTGGAGACCCAGCTGGTGGATGAGACAGGCGATTCAGTTTTTTTTCACCGCCCACTTCAAAATAGGACAGTATTCCCGCTGATATTCGCGGGTCACTATTCACAACTCATTCCAAACTATTTGCTGAAAACCTCACATGGTCACATTTTGTGTTTTCACATGTTCAGAGCAGTGAAAGAAATGAACAGTAGGTGTCAGCAAAGATCATGCCGTCAGTCTGCCTTACTTGGCCTGAGTTCTCCGGCCTACTGAGACTCAAGACGATAGTTGTGGAAACACCATGGCTCATGGCTCCTTCTACAACATGCTTAGAACATTTAACCATGCTGGAAATGAGTGGCAGAAAACGCCAACCAATTGTGTGATCAAAGCAACATATTTACGCTTGCTTTAAGTTTTGCTCATAAACGACAGCAAACCATTCAAAATGCACTGTCCACATTCTCCAACTTGTCGTCTGTGAGAAGATAAAGCCGGCCTCACCTGAATTAGTATCTTGCCCAGAGAGACGAAGGGCGTGCTGAGCTCGGTTAGAAACAAGCAGCCGATGAAGAAATCACCCTGGTCCTTGCGGAAGAACTGGGGAATGGAAAGAAAAGTCAAGGTGAGGGGGGTGGGGAAAACAAATACAAGCTTGGTGGAAAATAAACACAGCTGGCATCCAAGGACAAACTTTGGAATGGAAGGTAAGAGTTAGAGATTGACTACATGACGGATGGTTGATTCTGGATTGAGCCTTTCAACGACGCAACACTGCTGCAAATAAATCTCTCCGTTCCGATTCTGGGAGTCTGTTCGATTGAACCGTTTAACATCCTGGCGAATATATCTCGGCTCCATTAAGACTGCTCAGTTTGTAACGACGGTTGTACATCCGCGGGTTTATAACCTTTCTTGGGCCATTAGGACGACATCCAAGACCTCATACCGGGAACTATTGTGAGAAGCCAATCTTGCTTTGATGCAAGGCAGGCTGCTTCTAAGTACAGGTAACAAACGCGCGGGCTTGTCTTGTTTTTGCTGTTTGAAGCAAACTCACCTGGCAATAGTGTGAGAACAGATGTAAAGGGATACTTTCAAAAGTGGGTTGAAATCAAGTGTGTTTGACCCCTCTCCACATGTACTTTTTGTGCCTGCGAGAGATTTTCTCTTGCAAAATAAGTACCTCGGCTCATTCAAGGTTGGGAAAGACTTCATGAAAGACCTGAAAAAGGGCTCAAACATTAGACAATACCCAAGTTGAACAAGGCTTTTCAAATATTGACCAGTGTGGTTAGAGACACCGTCCGGAGACGCGGGACAAAAGCTCTCGTTTGGTAAGCTAGCTAGCTCGCTAATAATGAATAAAGGATGAGCTTACTTTGTCATCTGCCCGTGAAAAGACTGCCGGGAACTTAACACCGCAGCTACCTGGCTGGACTACCTCATCCCATTTCCGCCATCACCCCCACCAGTCATAAGCAGTCCAACTATTGTGAAGACCGGTAAAAAGCACGCGCCACCCTTAATTATGAGCTAGTTTGCCTGCGGTCTTGGCGAAAAAGATATTTGCGGAGTGATGCTTGCCATCTGTCCATTTGGTTTCCCACCACGCTTGTTAACCTGCGTGCCAGTAAGATGCGTGACATGCTTAATCCTTTCACAAAGGGATACCGAAGCACACACCTATTTTAATATCTGTCTCCTTTTATGGGTATCCGGGGTATGATTGTTAAATCCTTCGTCGCTTGAATGAAGTAAAGGGAACCCAAAATAACCCAGCGAGACCCCCCATTTTGGCTTGGAAAATTCTGTAATGACCTTTTCTGGGCAAGGCATATTTTGACGATTTTTGAAGGTTGTTGACGTTATTAAACCATTTCTTTCATTGCATATGATGTAGTTTGTTTCGCTTCTTTTACATTGCCTGTAAAAGACGGAGTTTCTTTTTTATTTTATGTCCTTGGATTGGGTGGGAGGACGACCCGGCTGGTCTTCGCCGTGAGAAGTAGCATCAAAGCCATAACATTTCTGCGTGTTTGGGTAGCTTTGCAGGAGGATCTAATACTCAGTTCTTCCACCCTGTTGTGTTGAAGCCAGTAGTTACTGCCCCGTTTTTTTTTTTTTTTTTTATTCCAACAAAGTTCTGTGTAAAAAAAGGTAAAACGCGATTGATTACACCGGGGAACAATTTGAAAAAAAGAATTCTATTGAGTTAAGATTTTCCTGCTGATTAAAATTATAAGTGGCATGCTCATTCCAAAAATGCAGTTGCAGATAAGCTACTAAATTCCACTGATTAGCTGTAGTAAGACCATAGTAAGAAGAGCCAATTGTGATTGGACTCATTGGCAACTTGTTTGTGCACTCACAGTTGACACAGTGCGGTGAGAGGTGCGTGCGGCTCCCAATAGGTCAGTACTTTCGATATCTGAAAACACAAAGCTAGTATAGTAGGAATTAATTTCAACTTTTCAAAGTATTCCGTTTTAGTGTCTTATTTACATACATAGACATTTATTTCATATTTTTGATAGCTCAAAAACTTGACGCAACAGAGAAAAAAAATGATATGAGTTTAGGATTCTGCACCCGAAAATTAGTTAGACCAAACTCAACAAAAACTGTGTCCCCAGTGTGACCAACAAGCCTGCTCACTTAAAAATTTCCATAACCAATTAAGGAAGAAACCCGTTTAATTTTCATACAGATAATTCATAATTTGTTTTTTCAGCCACTGACTTTACTTTTCAAATGAAGCTGTATCAAGTTTGACCGGTTTGAATTGGAAAACAGGCAGACGGGCTAAGAGAAAAGTAGGACTGCAGCTGCGAGTAAATTATGTAGCGTAATGTGATCCGCTATTGTTTCGCAGTCAAGCAAACAGCCGCGCTTCCATCGGCTTGAAGCTTCCCTCCGCGAAAATGAGTCAATGCTCATTCAATTGTCTCAATCAAGTGTTTTTTCCTGAGCTTTGATTCTCTGGCGTGAACCGCGTTCAGAGCCTTGAATGGCATCGCTTCTCCTCTCGATGATCGAGTTCTTGTCCATTCTTTATGCATCTATCTCGGGGGATGTACAATTGTAGGCTGGCGCTTTTGTTATCTGAAAGAACGTCATCAATAATTAGAGGAGTCGACTGTTGCGGGTCATTTCTTGTTTTCAAACTTGTTCTGGGGGGGACACGTCCATTTCTGCTGGCGCAACATTCGCCCAATGGTGTTTTCCACGAAAAAAAAAAAAGCCAGAATGTTGAATGATGCCCGTGACCAGCCTTTTTCTTAGTAACAACTCGGGACGCCTTCCTCACCAACGTGACGGGCAGCAGGATGGTGAGCAGGGCGATGTGATGCAGCACCAGCAGGAACTCCCGACGGACGAAAGCGTTCACCGTTCCCAGCGAGTGGCGCTTGTACTCCTCGTGCCCGCTGACGCGGAAGCGGTGGTAGTGGCTGAGGTACATGGCCAGGAGGTCATACGTCATGTAGGGCACGCCGAACCAGATGACAAAGTGGGTGGCCAGCCAGTGCCTGAAAGGAGGGAGGCGGAGGGCATCAAATACAAATTTGCCATCGAATGACACTCGGTAGCACTTGTCATCATTAAGGTCAATCGCGGTGTCTGCGACTTTAATCGCGAGCAAACGTTGTGTGCCGCTTGGCCGCTAACTTGACATTTCATTGGTGCGTTCGAGTGTGCACATTTGTGCCCTTGCCACGGCTTTAAAGGCAACCTTACGTAAGTGCAGAATAATAAACAGCTCAGATGACCTAATGAGCGCTGATTATGGCGACGGTTAATTACGTGGACAGAGGGGAGTAAACGCGCAGGGGGCGAGCCGGTCTACCACCCTCTGACCTCTGCCATGGTTCTTTAGCTCTTAAGGTCATTGGGTGGAGATTACGAGCGCAGTCAGGCACAACAAACAACACGGTTTAGAAAAGACTGTCGCCGTCTGACGCGTTTCCGTCTATTTGATTCGCCTCTGCATCTTCAAAACTATCAAGTCGAATCACTTTCTGAGCGTTCCGACCTTCTCTTTCCATGCCAAAGTTGCATCTCGTGGAACAATACCGCTGTGTTAGCATGGAGATAGCGCAACATCGCATAGTTGACGGCAAGAAACTACAAACTATCACGGACTGAGCGGTACAGTTTGGCTCAAAATTTTGCTAAAATGTTCAGGGTGCCAAAATAGGACACCAATTCTGCACTTATTTTGGGCACCGTTCCGTTGGGGTCCAGGACCTGAACGACGGAGCTTGACAGTAAACTGATCACGATCGCGTCTTCACAAGGTTTTACTGTTCTAAACTTAGCCTGAAAGTGCTGTAACCAATTTCTTCGAGCTAAATGCATCTCCTGTGCTATTTACAATCATCCTTTTGGTCTATTTGTGTATTTTTTTTTTCTGGAGGTCACTGTGATGTGGAGTAAAGTCTTACGCCAAAGGCCGGAGGCAGCGACAGATTGTGATAGGGTATTAAGCGTATTCATGGGTCTAACTGCAGAGCATGTGTCTGATAACCACCCCCCCGGCCGGCCTTGTGCACGTCACAGGACAGCAGAACTGAGCAGCGTTGTGAAGGAATTAAGCCCACAGGGGAGGGGGAGGAGAGAGGGAGGGCCCCTGTGGGGATTAGAAGCCTGAAACTGGGACTGCCCGGGTCTGGCCGCTGACTCAGTAGGATTAACAAGACTAGCATTATTTTACATTCACACTTTCTTAAAAAAAAAAAAAAAAAAAATCCACAAGGAGGCTAGAGAAACACCGACTTCCAGCCTTGAACGGCAACAACAAGTTGAGAAAAGGTACCAAGAAGGCATCTAATTATGTAAATGTGAGCATACATCACAATGGCAAATTTGACTGTATAAACTGTATTGCTTATACTCGATACATATATATAAATATTTTTTTTTTTTTCTTGGAACATTTGGAGGTCCGTCCCCTTAATCTGAAAGTGCAATATTTGCAACTTCGCGACGACTGCCATGCTAGCACATCCCAGTACAGACACAGAGAGAGCGGCCTCCAATCGTATTCATGTGACAGGCGTCGCATTACAGACAGCTAGCTGTTTCACGACAAGGGACGGTCAACTCAACAACGAACCTGCCATCGATGACGTTTGCCCTGCACGACATCACGACGACGACTCCTGCTGTGGTTGCCATGACGGCATGGATGGAAGACACCAATCTGAGGACCGGACCAAAAAAAAAAAAACAATGAAATGATAAAAACAACCCAAACAGTCTTTAGAGTCTCAGCAGCCAAGCTGAGGTGATTTTCGACGTTCCAAACCATATGGTTAGTTTTCCCAACAAAGGTTCATGGGGGACCGGAAAAACCAACATGGCACTTAAAAGTCTTGGTGCTCTTTTAACAACAAAATTCTGCATTCATGAGTCATTGTGGGCTTGATGGCGAGATGCTGAAACAATGAACGAGTTTTGTCGCGCGGCGGCGAGGTGAACCTGCCATCACCTCCCGTTAAAACTGTGTTGGATGGCGGCCAAGGTGGCCACGTGATGGGCCGACTACGAAACCCCAAGCCTGATCTGGGGCGAGATTAACCCGTCGACACAATAACTCGACCTAAACTTAACATGCATTTGGATAAGTTTAACCCTCAACGCCTATCGCCACAGACATTTCCAGGAGTGTCACAAGACCCAGTTTATTTTTTTGCACAGTCCACTTATTGTGTGTCCGCCAATAACCCCCCCCCACCCTCTTCCCACCAGCCTCCTCTTCCTGCTGCTCCTGAAAGGCCGCCGGCATGACCAGAAAGAGGGAGAGTTGAGGGGAACAGGAAAAGGGGGAAGAATTCCTCGTGGCCTCGTCGGGCAATTCGCTCTTTCCTGCCACGCAAACCTCGGCTAGGCGATCACTCGCGGCGTGTTTGTGCACGGCAGGCCGCTTGCTCTTTCACGTGCCATCACACTCGCGATGTCTGACAGCGGCGAGCTACGTTACCGCCGTTTTGACGTGGCCAATGCAGCCAAGCAAACAGTAAATGGGAGTACAGTGGAGTGGACCGTTGCATTCTTGGGTTGAAATGCTTTTCCAGGCCTTTACTGCGGCCTCTTTCATTTCTTGATTGTTTTGGGGGGTTTGTCGCTTCACTCTCCTCTTCAGAAAATGAAATGCATGCTCTATTGGGTTACGGCCCGGTGATTTATTTGGCCAGCCACCTACATAAATTAAATTAATCGCCAAGGCTGGTGAGTGACGTGGGTGTCCATGAATGTGACCGTGTTTAATTGGCTGTTGAGCTTAAGTTAGCAGTTGGCTTCCTGGTCACCTGTCTGTGTGTTGAGTGCTGGCCATCAATTGTAGCTGAAGACGCTCATGTATGAATATGCTTATTACTTGTTTATTTAAAAAAAAAAAAGTTCAATAAAGTGATTAAAAGTGTACCGGCATCTGGGTCTATTCTTGAGCCCTTGTGTGGGAATTTTTAACAAGCCGTGATTGTGTTGGCAATCGGGAACACACCCTTGTGGTTCATTAGTTAGCCTGATTTTGTTATGGACTCTATTTTTTTCTCCCTTGGTGCCATTGCAGCATCGTATTGCTACAACATTAGACCGTATGGGAATAGTGACCCCTGTGATCTTTCAGGCAGAGACTTTGGATGGACTTTTACTTGAAATCACATTATTTGAGTAATTCAATGAATAATTTCAGACCGAGACTCAGAAATGTGAACACCTGCGGTCTGCTGGAAATGTTTACTACATAGGCCAAGGAGACCATGTTTTTGTTTGCTTGTTTGTTAGCAGGATTACACAAGAACCACCTCTGGCTTGTCCAGTCTGTAAAGTTGTCAAAATGTTGGGGCCATCAGTCGGATTTGTCGCAAAGCACATGATGTGTCCAAGACAAGGTTGTTAAGGTTAACATTTATCAAGACTCCGGGGAAACCTTTATCAGTCCAATCCAACCGCAAGTTGCAGCACAGCACGTGATGTGTTCAGCGTGGGGCTTGCGAGGGGCAACGTTTCTCGACTGAGAAAACAAGCAGTGTGACATGGCTCGCGGCGCCAACGCTCGGCAAGAGAGCGTTTTCCCGTCAGATGAGCATTAGTGGAAATAGGGAGGCATTATTCAGGGAGGAGGAGGGCACAGCTAACTCAGCAGCAGTCAGCCCAGGCTAGGCTCGGAAGAGGATTAAAGCAGGGTGACAGTGAACCAATGAGCACTCAAGTGCACTAGTGTGCAATATGAGGGCCTGTCATTCGACGATTATTCTTTAAAGGACTGATCGTGACAAGCTCCTGTTTGATTGCATATATCCGGAATCACATTAAACCAGTTCAAAAACATTTCATACTTTTATTGCGACTTGAACCCTTCTGTTTATGTTTTTATTACTTGCAAACAATGTTCATGGGCCATCATGAACCTATCTATGATTACCGGTATTTATCAAAACGTCTAACACAATGTTAACTCTATGTTGGCTAAATTCAAAGAAAATGTATAGTAATAACAACAACAGAAAAATAAGTGTAATAATTTTTAAAAAATATGTATTTTTTCCCCTACATTTTCAAACTGGTCACTTGAACCAATGAAAAAACAGGAAGGTTACTTTGAAAGTTTTTCACAATGGGCACTCAACATACTGGGGGCAGTTTTATTCAAGTCTCCTAAATGTTTCAAGAACATGAATACAATAACAGTAGTTGGAAAAAAAATGACAAAACTTTTAAAAAATTGTTACAAAGAGTACTCATCAAAAAGTATGACTCCACATTTAATAAATAACCCCCCCCTTCCCCCCAAGTGCACTTATTAAAAGAATTATTCTTATTACCATCCACTTCTGGTGGAACAGTTAACCTGGAGTTACATTGTATCGAAATTACATAGGGGGCCACATATGGCCCACGGGCCACAGATTTCTAACGCTTGTCTATTTAACCTCTTTGAAGTCTTTGACGTATGCAGAGACACCGTCACATAAATAACTTTTTTTTATGCTAACTGTCACGCATGAACAGACTTAAAAGCCAGCATTAAATAACGGCGCCGTTTAACCCCAAAACAATGGAGCAGAATCAAGCTAGCTGCGAACACTCGTTGGACAGCGACAACAACCACAAGCCTCGCAATGAATGAAGCGAGAAAACACTCCACACTTGGCGACCTAATAAACGCTTGCTGTTCCCTTTTCCCCCCCGTTACCTTTCGCTAACGAGCACCACGTCGGCATCGCTCCAATGCTTGAAAACTCGGGGCAGGATCTTCCTGAAGGCGAAAAACAAGCCGGGAAAAACTACGGCGCCACAAGCTAACACTTGCAACATCATGAGCCTTTTTAATTTTTATTTTTAGGGAAGGTCGCCGCTTTATTAAAAAAAAAAAAAAAAAAAAAAGTCCCGACTTGACTAAGCCTTCTTGCTTCGTCGACTCTTCACATCACACGTCGCCGGGGCATTCTGTCGTGTGGCCCGAGCGGGTGCTGGTGCCGGGTTTTGGCAGGGATCAGTCTAAGACCATCGGGGACGAGGTGTTCTCCTACTTGGTTCTCAGCAGCAGCAGCACCAGCACCACAACCACCAGCACCACCGCTACTGTGAAGCTAACTGACGGAAGTACATCACGCTTCTTCCCAAGGACTGTCGAAATAAAAATTAATTTTCAGAATAAAAGTAAAGGTTTCCGGTTTGAGGGCGATTTCCAGTGGTTTGGGGGTTCGTTTTTCGGGGGGTCTATTTGAACCACAAATAATGCAATGCTGTACTTGACATCGCATCTGTGGTTTTAAAGGTGGATTAATTAAAATGTGGCTGAAATGGCGTTCTCACAATCGCCCGCTAGAGAGCGCCCAAAGCACCGAAAGCAAAAAGACAATCTTGACGTTTGAAAACCCGATAATAGCCTTCCCCACGCAACTCAACTCAACTTTATTTCTGGTAATTTCTTGAGCAATTTAACGACGGCAACCGGAACGAAGTGCTATACATAAAAGAAAAATAATTAAATGGATGGATGGGCGTAGAAAGAGATTTTTGCATACAGAGGTTGCAGAGTTTTATTCCCTCCTGTTACACATGTTGTGTGAAGCTGTTAGAAGATTTCTGAAGTTTCCAACGACCAGTATAGGGATCTGGAAAGATCTGGGCCCTCGTAATGAATCATGAGGGTCCCCCTGAATTGGGGTGCTTAGGGTGTAAATATATCACTCATGTTTGCTAAAGCTAAGTTTGATTGTAAACAAACAATGTCAGTTTTCTAAAAGCCAACAGTTGATTTGTTAGCGAGTAACACACATCAATATGCCCGTACGATTTAGTCGTCTTTCTCATTTCACTTTACTTGATTTTAGTGCTGGCTCTCATCCCTCTCCATATTTCCTCTGAGATGCAATCTTTGGTGGATGGACGTCTGTCTGCCAGCTCCACATTGGGACGAAGTTGCTCCTGAAAAAAACAAAACAATGGATAAGCAAAGATTTCTTTTTATTAAATAATGGAAACCCAAAAAATAATGGCAACAATCAACACTGAAAGCAGATTTCACATGCATGCTTTAAATAACCAAAACAAAATCAACCCGAAATGTGAAAAATGTTCAGAATGATCGAAACACAACCAAGTGAGAACCAAAAAGTCGAGGAAATCGAGCACTTTCACGGCTATATAATAACAATTTTGACAGCTTGGTTAAAAATTGATCAAAGTTGGCAGCATAGTGCATCGTTTTAACTCCCACCGTCGCTATTATTGCCGTCCTTCAGTTGCAACTTCCTCCTCAACAGAGATACCTGAATAAATTGCATTTCCTTATTGCCGTTTTTATTGCATCATCGATGCTTGTGTTCGATTACCACCTCAAAATGAACGTTATTATTTTTAAGTGTGACAGTTTTCGATTTTCACTGGATCGATGAGCTTGTGAAGGGGTACCTAATGAAGCGTCCACCGAGTGCACAGTCAGTTTCATTTCATCCGAAAAGAATTTTACAGCATTTTTATAGTTGATGGGGCAGGAGGTCAATCCTACATAATAAAGTTCAACTTATCTGTACGTTTATCAGCATTACTTGAAAGGAAAACTCCGTGTGATCTATCTTTGATGACTTTACACGGGTCTCAAAGTTGTGGCCCGGGGGCCATTTTGTGGCCCACAGGATGATACGGTATTTTGTCTATCATTACAAAAGACAGTCATTGTGAAATTTTGCATTGTAAACTCTTATCAAATAGTATCCAGACCCTCACATCAAAACAATGTCAGCGTTACAGAAGTCATGTCTCACCAAATAAGGCCATGGCATAGTCGTGAGTATTACAAAGTATCAACATTGCAATACTTCACATGAACTCTTACGATGTGGTGTCTATACACCAGGATCAAATCGCTATAAAATGTCAGCTTTAAAGATACCCCATCGTCACAACTGGGGGGTATTTCACGGTATTGGATAGCACAAAATATCAACCGCGCAATATTTTGCATTGTTAAGCTAATATAGCACTGTGTTGGGTTATTATCATGAAATGTGGCTCAATATCGTTACATCAGCGATTCCCATCGGCATCGCTTACATGACTTCAAGTTTTCTTGTTTGGGGTTGAAAAAAGTTTACTGATGTGCTGAAATGATAACATTGATTTCATTGACTTCTTTTTTTTAAAATAATGAATCACCAAAGCGACAGGCAATAAATGACGTTTTCAAGCCATGTTGCGCACTAGCACTGATGAGGAAGCCATAAAAATCCAGATATAGCACTTGTGGTGGACAATGTATTTGCAATGTGTGTGTGAGTGTGTGTGTGTGCGTGTGTGTGTGTGGGTGGGTGGGTGTGCGCGTGTGTACGAGAGACGTAACAGCGAATGAAGAAGGGAGGATCCTGGATGGTGGCAGTGGATAGATAAAAAGAGCCTCGCAACCACGGACATCCTGGTGTCAACTCCAAGAGTCCAAGGTGAGTTAAGCTTCCATTGGGGATGTTTTTTTTTTTTTTTTTTGGTGGGGGGGGGGCCTGCAATTTGCTATAACTTCGGTTCGACATTAGAAGGGTTGGGGGTTGATAATTTTGTAAAATCCGCAAATGAAAATACTGTATCAAAGAGTGTGAGAATAGATATTAACGATCATTTTAAGGTTTTGGGTTTCTACAGTAGATTGATAAATTTACAGGGTTACCTGGATAGTGGTTGTTTTGGTATTACATTATCGAGCATGTTGAGGAGTAAATCTGAGATTTTTCAAACACCAAAGTCAGAAATCCAGCCTAGAACATGCTTGTTTTTGCCCAGATTAATCATGTCCTTTGTTGTTGGTGAACACTCTTTTTTTTCAGACTTCTCCTTGGTTTACTTTTCCTGAAACATTAACTGTGAACAAGATGAAATTAGATCTTCTTGCCCTGACCCTATGCCTCCTTGGTACAGGTACGAAGATACAAAAACCCATTTTTATAAATCTCAAGAAAATTGCCGGATCTTCAGATCCCAGAAATTTCCGATAGTTGTTTGATACTATGTTACAAAAAAAAAAAGGGAAAAGTTGGTAGCAGTTTCCTCAAGCCGCGTCATAAAAAGCCAAAGGTTATCATGTTATAAATATTAAGAGTGTTTGTCAAAACGGGATCGTCCTTGTTCAGAGCACAGTACTAGTGAAAGATTAAACCGATTATCATTACCTGCAGTGAGTGTGGTCCAGGGCGTGTGTGAGATTAATGCCTCCCTCATTCAAATTCCACCTGACAATTGGGTATTTTCATTATCGTAGAAGGTTGCAGACATGCAAAAATAAATAAACACTGCATACAGCGCATATGGGGCCCATACTCCTTTTGTCTGCAGGTGCTTTGCAAGCACACGGAACTCATGGGGTGGGAGTGGGGTGCCACAGGAGTCATACACAAGTACTCCACCCTTGTATTTATCCAAGCCCGAAGGGAGAAGTACCTCTCTGGTCTGCTGCGTGTGATGTTGATGGAAATCAGTCATTTCGCCCTTAACATTGAACTTAATTTTATCAACAAATAGACTCAGTGTGGGACACAGGCACACTTCCATTGATAGATGCGTCATGATCTATGTTCCTCGCGTGAAATAAAAACATCATAATTCACACTTACGCCACACTCACTGGATTTGCACTGATCTCCCGTGTTATACATACACTCCACCCATACTTTGCTCCAGGTTCACTGCGACCTTGCGTTTTGGCTGTGAGCTACCAAACCGAGTATCAAAATCTTATGGCGAGTTGTGAGTGACGCTTAAGGGGCGTGTGTACGCTCAACCTTCTTTTTGCATTAACAGCCGTGCTGTGCAGAGGGCAGACAACCACAATTTCCCCAAGTTCAACTAAGGTGACACCCACTCCAGCCCCGGGTACACTTGCTCCTTCCTCAACTTCAGCAACGACACCTCATCCAGGCTCGACCACGCCGAATCCAGGTTCAACTACACCCCATCCAGGAACCGCCACGCCTGATCCAGGCATGACAACCAGTACCGCGCCATCCACCGCAGTAGCAACTGGCTCATCTCCATCACCGAATCCAACTACCCCAGCAAAAGAGACCACTCCCATCACTGGGGGTCAAGGTGGTGGTGGAGGTGGGTCTGAGGGGCTTTCAGACGGCGCCATTGCAGGCATCACAATTGGTTCTATTGCCGGCGTGGCCGCTATCGGTGAGTCTAGTTTGAACCGCACCTCTTTCTTTGTTTCCTCAAGGACACAGGAGTCATTAACATTTGTGACGTTTTCGGTTCACCCAAGGTAAATCCTGAACGTCCCCAGGCACGAGTTTATTGTGTACGGTACCTTCAGACCAGCAGGGGACACTCTGAAGCCATCTTGCACTTCAACCTCCTACTTTAGTAATATGTACCTTTTGAAGTAAATACACATATCCCAGTGCCTGTATTTTGGTCTCTTGAGGATGTACTGGTAGCGTAGAAGTTCACGTTACGGTATGTCCACTTGACATCCATGAACTAGTCTGAGATTCCGTTTTATGGTCCCGATTTCCAAATTTTTGATCCAAACCAAGTCTTAATGGCTCATCCGTATTGTAGTGATTCATACTGTGGCCTTTTACAGTACATGATAACCCTGGCTCAATGCTCCATCGCCTAATCCAATGATATCTCCAGAGCTGGTCTGAAGGCACAAAATTCACGTCCATTTGGCAGGGGACACTCCGGATCGATCTCGTATCTTGACCACGTAGTTTAGTCGCCAGCATTTAAGCATTTAACCAGTTTCAAAATCCATTTCTCGGATCAGATTTGCAGGCTAAATAGGTAGAACATGTTCCTCATTACTTGTTAAAATTGACCAAATTGATAACAATTGTGGTTGTAACAATGGCACAATGTCGTAAAAGATGTTCTCCTTTCAGGTGGCGGTATCTTTGGAGTACTCAAGTACACTGGGAGAGTGTGAGAAGCAAGACGGCTTCTATGATGAATCAGCATCATATATTTTTTAAATAAATTATTTGGCGGGATATGTGAAGAGACATTTCTGTGCACTTGGATTTAAATTGAAAGGGCTAATTATACATGAATGCGTGGTGTTTTGTTTTTGGTAAATAAATATTCCTGAAAATCGTGTTTGCCTCATATTATTGAGCATGACATTTTGTCTGCTATTCTTAATCGCGAACCCAAGCTAGCAGGTTAAAGTCCAGGTGTACGTTCTGTGACAACTTCCCTGTGAACACAAAGAGCTGCTTCATTTCATGATGTGACCACACTATGGTTATGCTGTATGCAGTATAAACACGCATATCGAAACCATATTAAACTCACTGTTTGCAAGAACTAAATGTTTACCTTTGGGACAGTTGTTGGCAAAAGTGCGAGACTCACTGTATCAAAAATGAAAAGCAAAATTGTACCTTAAACTGAAGCTGAACAATGTTCAACAAATATACTAGTTTGACGCAACATGTCTGTGCTATTATGTTGTCTTTGACTAATTTCGGGTTACCCCCCAACCTCCCCCCAAAAAAAGCACATTTAAAAAAAAATTTTACCCACGAATAGAAAGAATTATCGACAGATTCATGATTATGAAAATTATCATTAGTTACACCCCGTTTTGACTATTTTTCCTCAGCTAATTAGCTCACCTTGTGAGTTATTCACCAAGGGTAAATATGATTATCATTATATATGGCTGTGTTTGAACTGATAAGCCTGGTCGGGAAAAAATGGTTTTTAAAAACACGTTCATAAATTGACATTCAGATCGATATATTTTAGCTTCCACCAAATTTACTTCAAGAATTCCTTTTTCCTCAGTTAACCGGCTAATCGCTAACACGCTACTATCTACCTCGCTCGCTAGCCTCAGTGACTGGAGTAGTTATTCACTGAAGTGGCATTATTAGTACTACCCTGATCATCATTTATGGCTGTGTGTTGGTAAAAACATGAATACATACTAAAACATTTTTAGCTGTCAGATAAACCCGGTAGTCTTGGGAAAATAAATTAATTTAGTAATCAATTTCTGCGTTCCCTGTGCGCCAAACTACTTTCCTAGAGACCTAGAGGTGTCAGTCAGTGCTCCAGGCCTTAGCCACCTGTGTCAGGGTCTACAATGGACTTTACGCCACATCGAGTCCTTCTGGATTTTATGGTCACTAAGGCCATTACCCCGTGTGTAAACACAACTGAATTTACGTCGCTATGTGATAAAAAGAAACTGCTGTTCGCAACACTAAAGGCCATATGGTGTCGATATGGAATAGGAATACATAAAAGTTCATACCAGAGAGCGTTGACTTGCTCCCACTTCCTCGGTCTCGGTGAGTTTTCCTATTGGGATGGAAACACAGAAATTAGTTCAAGCCTAAGTGCGTTGACAACACTCCCGTTTCCTTGTTGTAGGCGCACTGGAGCCGAAAACATGGCCATTTACAAGATCTTCGGCAGGAGCTACACTTGCACAATCTCATATGTGTTTCGATGTCAAATCGTACCTGTATGTGTCAGCTTGTTCCTGTTGTCTTGTTCTCGGCGCACTCAGTCATTCACAACTATATATAAATATATATACACACACGCAGACACAAGATAATAAGTATAACTGTGCCAGTATTCTTACGACGACGATTTGATTTCAAAAACAACAAAAGAAGAAAGCAACCTCCTAAGACAACTTTTCGCTGTCTTATTTTTTCATTGTTTTTCTATTTAATCACTGGCACTTTTTTAATGACAAAAAACATTCAGTAGATGATAAGAAAAAAATGGACAAAATATTTTTAGAACGAAAGTCAAATCAATTTCTTGCAATATTACCTTCAAAAAAATGCCCCAAAAATTGTGTGAAGATTTGGATGTTTTATCAAAAATTAAGATGATGTATTCTTTAAGCAACTACCGGTACTTCTCAGCAAATGAAAAGCAAAACCATGTAAGTTTGTAATGAAGTTTAATGGTTAATACAAACAAACACGCACACAAATTCAGCACCTGTTTTTTTTTTCTTTTCTTGTTGCTCCCTAATGGCTTTACAAAGAACTGGCAATTTACCTTACCTCGTATATAAATTGCAACACAGTAGTCAAATTTGACACCTTTTTTTGTCTCTCCAAATGGTGACGTCACCCAGGTTTATAAAGTGCATAGAAAAAAAAAAGTGCACACCCCCAAAAAAAAAACCCAGTCATGGTTCATGGATTCCAGTTTATCCCATGACCTGTTTGTCACAGCCTGAGCCACAAGATGGCGCCAACATCCAGCGGTTAAACTTCACGTCTCACTGGGTTACTTTGTTGTTGTAACCTGAGGGCGCCTAAAGGTGAAACGTCTTGATTTTTGCAGAGCTCGTAGAAGAGGATGTAGGCGTTGCTGCTGCGCACCTGGCTACAGGACATGTGGCTCACCCTACACACAGACACACACAAATACAACAACAACAAAAACAGACCACTGTGGTTACAACGCCACAATTCTGATGAGATTGCGTGAACAAGCCACAAAAAAAAAAAAAAAAAAAAAAAAAAAGTCCGAAGACCAACCTGAAGTCGTTGAAGCTGTACCACTCGCCGACGGTTGCGTTCTTGCAATAGGCCGTGTAATGGCCGCCCAGCGTGTTGCCCCAGTGGTTGGAGACAGCGTAAAGGTTGTACGTGGCGCGCTCTGCAGGGGGACACGTACGATCAAACACAAGGAGTAGCCAGAAAGTTCTGCGGGAGGCCGTGGGACGCACCGCTGCCATCGGAGGCGAATTCCCGGAGGTCCAGGTCTTTGAGGGGGAAATTGACGTACGTGGACAGCTTGCTGGCTCGGATGTTGGACTCGGAGAAACGCTTCAGGTCTGGAAGGGGGGTTGCGAGTCAAGGAGGTCGTGCCGGGGTATAGCGTGTAACACACGGTCCTCATTGGGACGAAGCGCAACCTTTGTTGAAATGAAGCTACTCAACTCACTCTCACATTGCACTTCCTTAGCGCCAAGATGCAAGGGTTTTAGTTTCTTTCTTTTAAGGATACGAAGCACGAGTATCTGAGGGAACTTCTGAATGCTGAATCGTTTGGTGCATTTCTGTCTGGTTTTGCATCTGTTGCAAGTCTGCGCGGGAGAAACACAACAAAGCAGTGAGGCCAGCCATTCGTCATAACCACAGAAAAAAAAAAAAAAAATATGATACGCCGAGGTCTTACCGGCCTCTCGTCTCCGTCCAACACGTCCTCCTTGGTGAAGACCCTCAGGCAATCTTTCAGAGTCACCTCGCCGGAGACGATCTGCGGACGCAACGCAGGTGAGACAACACGACCGCAGGGGAGCTTATCCGTGCGTGACCATTTGAACATTTTTTTTGCAGTTCTGACCGGTGCGATTGGGACGGACAGGTCCCAGAAGGGCTCAAAGACGTTGGAGCGGAAACCGCATACGGTGCAGGTCAGGGAGCTTTTCAGCTGGCCGGCAAAGAGATCTACAACAGACAATGTTTTCCCCACGTCAAGGATAAGCTAATTGCAAAAGCTGCCGTCAAACAAACACTCACCAACGACTTTGCTGTCTTCCCGCTGCAGATACATACTCCACATTTGTTTGGCTTTGTCGTCATCACTGGGAAGAAAAAAATTGAGACGTCAACTCGGAGTCTAGGGCGTCGATCAAGCACAGAAGGAGTTTTGTTTTGAAAATTGACAAGATTGCTTTTCCCCGATGAGTGTTCATTAGTCATCAGTCAGTTTTTATTTAGTTTTGCCCGTTTTTTTTTAACTCAGTTTTCAGAGCAGCTTTTTTTGTTTTTATTACAACTTATTTTTTGAAAGATAATTTTATAAATGTAAGATACACTTTGAGTTACTTTTCATTTCTTTAATAACACTCTTGTTTTTATTTGTTTTGAAAGAAATTTTCATTTTCTTTTGTTTTGATTACCATGTGAACAAACGTGTAGATAACCTCGATAATGCCGATGAGGTCATGTTTTTATTGCAGAAACTGGTTTCATCTGTATCTGGCCTGAGCGGAAGGCACAGAAATGGTCTTGAAGACCTCAAATGGAAATACAAAACGACACCCTTTGAAGTAAAAATTGCAATTACCGACGATTCACGCACTCAACCGATGGACCCGCACATTTCACACGAGCAATTCTAAACTGAGATTTCAACCAGGAACCACAGACAAAACAATTTCTAGGTCAGCGTGCTGTCCTGGATAGACTATTCCCATGGGAGTTTATGTGAGCGCATAAAAAAAAAAATGCTGGAGAAGCAGGTCATTTTTAAGAAGGTTGACATTCAAGAAAGCGGTTGTAAAAATTCTGTTCTGGCTTTACGGTCATTGAGTGACTTATTGGGAGCAGAGGTGACCCACGTCCAAGACGCGCAGACTTACGAGAGGTGGTCAAAGTCCTCGACGGACGCCCTGGGGCATGCCATCGCTCGGTTCACCCCGTTGTGGAGCGCATCCAGCAGGAAACGCAGAAACTCCTGCGCGTCTTGCTGACTGCACAAGACAAAGAACAGCCAGGCGGGGATCAGCCGGTTGACTGCAGGATGCAAAACGAGGGGAAAAAACAAAAAGAAAACAAAAAAGTTGCGCCGAGGACGTGACTTACTTGCAACCGGCGAATTTGGGAGCGCAAATTTGCACCTGGCTGTGGAAATCGGAGGGGATGAATGTCTCGTTGTTGACCGATGTCCACAAGCTCTGAGTCAGCTTGGCAAACTCTAAGGGGGAAAAAAATGGGAGCAAAGCTTGACAAAAGACATTATTTGCCTTCAATGACTAACAAAAAACACTTTCAATAGTTTCTATCAAAGGCTGTCTAATCTCCTGTATCTCAAAGACAGGAACAAAAACTAGAGCTGACCTACTATACTTGGACGCCCTAAAAATGACTCAACGGCCTTATGCAACAAACATCATATATGCTTGCTTGACATAATGGCATGCTGCATATAGATAAGACCGAGGTATCGCAGAGAATCTTATCTTCCTAGCTGTACAGGAAACAAGGGCCTACTTAGCTAACATTCATTGATAACATTGGGATGTTTTCTTACGATAGGCAAGGGTGAATGACATTTGACCTCGCTCTCGGAAAATGCAGTGAAACAATGCAATGTGTTCTAATGATAGGATAGAGTGAATGACATGGGACCTCGCTGTATTCCCTGTGGGTCTCCCAAAGAGCTCACAAAATGCCCGAAACTAACTGCAGCATGTTACCTTCAACAAGGGCCGAATTGGTCCTGTTGCTGTTGTTGTTCAGGTCTGTTCGATGGACCTCTCTCAGGCAATAGTCCCTCAACTCGGGAGTGTTACTCAAACACTGGAGGATGGAGTTCATGAAACACTACAAACATGCACATAGAAAAACAAACATGAGATAAATGACACTCTTTCTGGAGGGTTGGGTGTACTGTGGAGGTGCATGCCGGGACATTTACCGTGTTTCCCAGGTTCTTCAGTCCCACCAGGCCTTGTGGACTCTGCTTCTGCTCCAAGGGAAAGAGAGGGCATGAAGGTCATGGCTATTTAGCAAGGACTAGGTTAAAAAAAAAAAATCTGTGAAAGTTGAACAGTAATGGCAAGTATCTGCATAAACCGGGAATTTACAAAATTCAATATTGGCTTTTAAATTACCCTTAATTCTCAGTTAACTTCCACTAATCCTCGTAAATCACGTGGAATTTTTCAAATATTACTTTTACATTGAAATAAACGGGAAAAAAATTTCAAACCTAAAGCTATCCACAGTCGATTCTAAAAAATAATTACCAATAAATTTGATAATCCATTACTTGTCGATTAATTATTAATTCTTGCAACTCTCTTTAGCGGGTTAGCAAGAGCTAAGATAAGAGCGCTAACCCTCACTTCATTTATCATTTGAAAACTTGCGAACAAAGTAGTTTTTTTTTAAGTAGTCCGCCTGCGTGCTTAGCATGTCAACTCTGCCTCATTGAGAACGCTCCATATCTAATTCAAATTCAATGTAAACCCATAAAGTGTCATATAAATAGAAATTACGCACGTGAAACAGCTTAATGTACAACTGCGTCATTCTGAATCTACATCTACAGCATGTGAGCAAGTGCAAAGATCATACACGGCAATGGCGAATGATGAAAAAAGAGGAAGGGGCGTGGCCTGGACGGGGGCGTGGCCTGGACGGGGCGTGGTTACTTACAAAAGTGGCACTAAACATGCTGAAGATGAAGTGTATTAAATTTACACAGTTTGAAAATTGAACAGAAAAAAATCCCAAGGTCGCCACTATTCTTTCAAGTGAAAATTTGTGCAATTTTGCCTATGCATTCCTGGTGAGCACCAATATGTAACTCCAAATTTGCTGCTCAAAATCAAAACTAAAAAAGTAAACACATCCCCTGCCATATTTAAGATTTGTTCATGACTTGTATTCATAAAGTGTTGTGTAAATGTGATAAAAAGCTGTTGATTCTTACCTCATACAGT